ATTTATATTTGAATGTGATGTTTTTATTTCAGGCTGAGACAGCTCTAAAAGACTAACTAGCTTTTTTGTGTAATAAAACATTTAAAAATAGTATTTTTTAAGCAGGGGCAGCACGGTGACACAGTTGGAAGAATATTGCCTCTCAACGAAAAGGTTGGCAGTTCAAATCCTGGCCCAGAACCTTTCTGTGTGGAGTTTGCATGTTCTCTCCGTGCATGCGTGGGTTTCCTCCAGGTACTCTGGTTTCCTCCCACAGACCAAAAACATGCATGTTAGGCAGACTGGTAACTCTAAATTGTCCCTAGCTGTGAGTGAGAGAGTGAATGGTTGTTTGTCTCGTTTGTCTCTATGTGTCCCTGTGATGGACTGGAGACTTGTCCAGGATGTCCCCCACCTCTCGCACACTGATGGCTGGACATGCACCAGTGACCCCCGCGACCTGAAAAGGAAGCAGCAGGTGAAGATAATGGATGGATGGATGGATGGATGGATGGATGGATGGATGGATGGATGGATGGATGGATTTTTAAGCAGTAAGGTGGTTTATTTTTCCCCTGAGGAACATGAATAGCCATAAAATTAAAGGCTTAAAATCATCTTATTCCAATGTTCTTATTCTATTATGGGGGTGGCTGTGGCAGAGTGGTTAGATCAGTCATCATCCAATGCAAGAGTTGGGGGTTCGAATCCACTAGCAGTCACATGCCGAAGTGTCCCTGGGCAAGACACTGAACCCCTCATTGCCTCTGATGTGTGTCCTATCGGTGTATGAATGTGATAAAGCTCTGATTATTCTCTTTAGAATGATTTATTCAATTAGCTTTGTACAGATCTAGTAGAGTGCTGTGTGAATGGGTAAATGAGGACACAGGTTGTAGTGTAGATCTTTGGATCTTCGAGTATCTTGAATAGATAGAAAGGTGCTATATAAGTACAGTCCATTTACAATTTAACATTCTTATTATATGTCTAATCAGGTGGTCAGTAGCTCAGAAGCACCACAGGGGACTGTACTCTCACCATTCCTTTTCACTCTTTACACCTCATATTTCCAGTATAAAACAGACTCCTGTCATTTGCAGAAATATTCAGATGACTGCAGTGGTCGGGTGTATCAGAGATGGACAAGACGCTGAGTACAGGGAACTGTACTTTGTGGCATGGTGTGGAAACAATCATCTCATCTTGAATATGAATAAAACAAAGGAGATGATTGTAGATTTCAGGAGAAACAGGAACAGGTCCAACCCTATTTCCATCATGGGAGAAGAAGTGGAGGTGGTGGAGAAGTATAAATACCTTGATGCTCACCTGGACAACAGACTGGAGTGGAAATGCAACAGTGAAACCGTCTACAAGAAGGGACAGAGCAGACTGTACTTCTTGAGGAAGCTGAAGTCCTTCAACGTTTGCAGCAAGATGCTGCATATCTTCTATCAGTCTGTTGTAGAGAGCGTTATCTCTTCTGCCATCATCTGCTGGGGGAGCAGCACCAGAGCAAGTGACTTCAAAAAGATCAACAAGCTCATAAAGAAGGCTGGCTCAGTTCTGGGGACTCTGGAGATGATTGTTCAAAGAGAGATTCTTCATAAAATGAAGAACATTAAAGACAACCCTCAGCATCCTCTTCATCAGACTGTCATACAACAACAAAGTGTCTTCACTTCAGTCAATGAGGATTTGGCAGAAGACTTTTGATGGTAATAACTGGAAAGTTATATCATGCCAGTGGCCTCAGGTTTGTGGGTTGCCTTTTATTAGAAGCTTCACAATTAGTCCTTCAGACCAGTTCTTGTCTGACCATATTAATTTAAAAAGATCTGTAAGGATCATTGTTGAGGTGTCTGGATCAGCCTTTAACATCTCTGTATGGATGTCATCAATGCCACAGGCTTTTCCATTCTTTAGGCTTTAATGGTAAGCCTGCCATATCTCTTCTTTTTTTGGACTGACATGTCAATGTTAAGGATACCCTCTGTTAGTGGTGGATCTGCAGGGTCACTTGGTTCTGGTCTATTGAGGACTACTTGGAAATGCTGGACCCATTGAGCTTCTTGTTCATGCTCTTTTGTTAATATCGTACCATCTTTGTCTTTCACTGGACCTATCTGGCTAGATTCATGCCTGAATCACCAATTCAGCAGCATCCAATCCAATCCAATCATAAGCATTCAATAAGCTCATCAGGAGAGCTGGCTCTGTTCTGGGAGTGGACCTGCAGTCTCTGACAGAGGTGTCTGAGCAGAGGATGCTGAGGAAACTGCTCCAGATCCCGAACAACACATCACACCCCCTGCATGACACACTGGACTCTTACAGCAGCACATTCAGTCGTTGACTGAGACCACCGAGGTGCTCCACAGGATGCCACAGGAAGTCCTTCCTCCCTGTGGCTATCAAACTTTTCAGCTCTTCCTGTTTCCTGTTCCTCTCAAACCCAGCCGGTGAAAGCAGATGGCCGCTTGTCTTGAGCCTGGTTCTACTAAATGTTTCTTCCTCGTGAGGGAGTTTTTCCTTTCCACTATCACCTTCATGCTTGCTCAAAATGAGAGTTTAGTGATGGAGTTAAAGTCAAAGTAGTCTGCTCCTCAGATAAATAGTGTTAAATTATTATTTTTTTATATATATAAATGTTTCTGTTCAGTGCCCTGAGTTGACTTCTGACGTCAACACATCGGTAAAACTGTCTTAATTATAACCTTTTTATGTTTTCCAATATGAGATAGTTGTTGCAGCCATTCTGAACTGAATTCACTTGACTTCACTTTATTAGTTCCTTGAAGGGCAATTCATTTACAGTAAGCAGTGGTGGTGATGACAGCCAGCACATTCATACAAACTTTAAACATGACAAAATTAATAACAACAGGGTAAAAAAGTACATTCAAAACAAGATTAAAATACATAAAAACCATGACTAAAAAAGAAGAAAAAAGAGTCAGACTGTAATAATTCAATAGCAATCCTAGGATAAGGCATTAAATCTATATTTTATGTAAAAAAAAAAAAACAACAACTGTGGGAATGAAAGTTTCTTTAATCTATTTGTTCTTCACCTACAGTAGGTCGGCCATATCTTCTGCCCAAAAGCAGATTGAACTGAGTGTGCAGAGGATGGGTGGAATCTGCTGAAATTCTGTTGGCTTTGGATACTGATCTGGACTTAAATAGGTCCATGATGTCATTCAATTGAATCCCTATAATTTTTCCGTCTTCTTTGATAATATCCTGTAAGCGTTTTTTTTTTTAAGTTCAGCAACCCAAACCAGCAGCGAAATGAAAACGTGAAGACGTTCAATAAAACAGCTATAAAACATTTTCATTAAAAATGCAATCAACATTTAAGCTCATCAACTTCCGGAGGAAATGCATCCTCCGGTGGGCTTTCCAGCAGATTCCATCAGCCTGGGACTCAAATGTCCATTTTTCCCATCATTATTGTATTCTTGCACCTCTTCCACTACCTGACCCTTAATAATAACAGGAGGGGAGAGTGACAGGATTGACTCCTAAAATGCAGCAGATATATTTTATGATTAGCCAATTCCCTGGACATTTTATTGAAATGTATCCAGTAGTTCATGAGTTATTTCGCTGACAGATAGAGAAGACTTCAAAGATGTAAGCGCAAAATTTGAAACAAAAAGTCTGACTCAACTTAGAGGAACATGTGATGGAGATCAATCTCAACTCCTATGCATATCAGAATTTAGCTCAGTGTCTGACAGAGTTACAGCCAAATGTGTTGTTTTTGTGGTCACTTGTACGGTGGCCCTAAGGTGTAAATGAACAACATTTGACAAAACACAACAAAAATAAGAAAAATCACAACAACATTAGACAATTGGCTGTGGTGGCCATCTTGAATTGGACATGCTCCAAAAATTAAACACGTGTTCTTTCATATCCAATAATTATTATCTACAAATTTCAATAGAGTTTATTCAGTGGTTCATGAGATATGTTGATAACAGACAGACACATTATCATCTAATCACCTTTTATAGCGGACTATAACTATTTAGAGTTTCGGGGAGGGGGGGTGGGGGTGTAACAACATGAGTTAACATGGTTGTAACATGAGTTATTAACTAATAAAACACCAGGGGAGGCACAGGAGGAAGTTCAGCCAGTCAACCGTCTGTACATGTTCAAATACCTGAGAAAAGCAGGAAACACAGGCACATACGCGCGCGCACGAGCCGTGCATCTTCAGCTCGCAGCAGCATGGCACCAAGAGAAGCAAACATCTCCTCATTGTTTAATCCAGACAAACAGAGCTGGACGGTCCAGGCGCGTGCGGGACCAGATGAACAAGACAAACTCACCGCGCACTTCTGCTCTGGGTCAGGGTTCGGAGCAGATCAACTTGGTCCCACGTGCACGGTGGAACAAGGAACCTTTCCCCCCGAACCTCGGTGCTCTGCGGCCAGACACGAGGGTCCGACAGCCGCGCACACCAAGTGTCCTGTCTGTGGAGAAGTTTGTTGCACGGCACGAGCAGGGCCGAGCGCTTCTGGACCTGTTTCCTCCCTGCGCGCGTCTGGACGCACAGACCCTGAACCGAACCGCAGCTCGACGCATGGAAAGTAGCTGCGCGCAGAAAGGCAGCAGGTCATTGGCTGCCCCCGGCTCTCCAAGGTGAGAAAGAAACTCCCACTTCTTCTTTCCAGAGAAAGAAAAAAAAAAGACAGGAGAAATAGTTCTGTGTAACTCCAGAAACACCCGGTCCAATTAATGATTCATTTATAACGTGTAGCGCACCATAAAACTCTCCCAGTAACATTATTATAACTGACGTCAAACCAGTCCAAGTCTGCTTTATGTACCAACAAAGTCCATGCTCAATAATCCAGATATACAATCCAACAAATTTCAGTCAGGTGACTGTCCATTTGAGCAGACTGAATATTGTTGGTCTGCTTTATATAGTTTCTTCAATAACTGAGGACCCTGACCCGGACCTGGACACTTCAAGATCCACTGCAGAGCCAGCACCATCTGAGCATCTACTGGTTCAAAAGGCCCATCTGGGACTGTTCCAGAGATTCCAAAAGACAAACCTCAGTTCTGCCTAATCTAAATGTCAATTATTAATAATTAATATAATTTTCATTCAGCTGGGTTTTGGGAGGAAGGCTCAAATTGACTGTCGAACCTCAGATTCATGAGGACTCGTGGACATCTTCACCCTTGGCTGATAAAGAGCTCATGGGAATTTGTCCACTCTTCTTTTGGCCTTGGAAAAAGGTTGCATATTCCTCAAGGCATTCTGTGAGAGTGCTGTGAAGTATTGGGTGCTGGGGTCACATTAGGGGCCGAGATGGGACCTGGGACCCGAAGGTCCTGGGTTCGATCCCCGGTCATTGCACATCTCATGGTGTCTCTGAGCAGGACATCCTAACCCCAGTTGCTCCCCGGGTGCTCTCCATAGCTGCCCACTGCTCCACCTGGTGGTGTATGGGTTTAAAGCAGAGAACATACAATGATGACAATACATAACACATTATGATTATGTGTCCGCATTCATCGGTGCAGCTGTGGTTGAGTGGTTAGAGAAGTTGTTCTCCAATGGGAGAGTTGGGGGTTTGATTCCACCAGCAGTCAAATGCTGAAGTGTCCCTGGGCAAGACACTGAACCCCTCATTCCCTCTGATGTGTGTCCCATCAGTGTATGAATGTGATCTAAAAAAAATAGCACTGATTAGTCTTTGTAGAATGATTTGTTTGATTAGTCTTTGTATAGATCTAGTAAAGTGCAATGAATGTGTGTGTGGAGGTAAATGAGAGCACAGATGTTGTAAAGCGCCTTGAGTATCTTGATTAGATGAAGGTGCTATATAAGTACAGTCCATTTACCATTCTCCACACAAAGTTAAACATGTTCCTGGTGCAGGTTGGACCACACCTGTCCCTTGTCCCTTGTCTCTGGTCCTATTTGTAGTGTCCATGAACAGGATCTCAAGACACAACCAGGGAGAGGATGGGTCAGGTTTGGAACCTCAGGGCCTGAGCTCTTTTTGCAGATGTGTTGGTCACTCCAGACCACAAGTTTCAGCGTGCTCTAGGGCAGTTTCCATGCAAGTTTGAAGCAGCTGGGGTGAGAATCAGCTCCTCTACATCTGAGGTCATGGTCCTTAACCCAGTAAATGTAGAATGAGCTCACTCTGGGTCCAGGGTATTGGCGTCAGAAGCTTTTTTTTCCTTTCATTCAACCTTTATTAAAACAGATAAGCCACATTGAGCCTCAAAGACTCATTTACAAGTGAGACCTGTTTAGACAGACACTAAAAAGTGGTGAAAAATGACACATAGGGTTTGGAGACAAAAACTTCCTAACACGCTTTTAACCTCTGTTTGAAGGTCAACAGTGTGATACTGAAAAATAATCTCGCACACGAGCACATGATGATGCTGACATTGCGCGGGGGGGGAGACACAAGGGCGGTAAGCAGCCAGACACAACACACAGAGGCACTGCAGAGTTCAGTTGAAATCACTCAGTTCAAATAGTTCCCTCTGGAGAGATCTGTGCACACTCCGGGGGTGCCGAGGACGACAAGAGACGAATTCTTAGTCCTGAACTGATGACAGAATGTTTATGCAGCTGGGCTCTTCTGAAAAGTCCATGGAAATTCCTCAGTAGGAGGGACGGGAAGGGTTAGAGCATCAGGTTTACAAAACTTCCAGGTGAGTTGAGGTCAGATGATCTGTTGAGGCCAGTCAGGGATCCGAATTCAGATAAACACGATTGTTTTGGGGACAGGCATAACTTTAATGACATCTACCTTGAGTCTGTGTCGGTCCACTCGGATTCGAAACTTCCAATTAAATGACCATACCAATGGAACGTGCCTGAGAATAATCCCCGAGATCTGATCCATTCTGCCAAAAGTCTGGGTGCTCGAGGCACGAACCAAGCCATCATATAAGGCAGGCAGCCTGACCAGGTCCAGATTTGCTGCTAACGACTTCCTTGTTTGTTGATAGACCAGGAACTAGCTGAATCCAACAAATAGGAACTAGTTATCATAAATCCAATTTTAAATGTGTCCTTAAAATCCACAGATGACAGCAGAGATAGACACGTCATCATGTCTTCAAAGTTGATAAGATATCCAGGTGCATGCATGCCAACAGGGCAAATTGGCTCACCTAAAGACGGTCTTCTCTTCAAAGAAATGTTATCAGTTGTGTTTGTGTTGAGGGACCAACTGATCAAATCCAAGTCCATAGTTATGATTCAGAAGATTAGTAGAAGAGAGGCTCTAAAGCAATTTCACAGACAGGACAGAGCAACAGCAAAGCGGAGAGGGAGAGGAGGAGACGTCCGCTCTTGAGAAGAGCAAGTGTTGAATGGGGTGGGGGATACATTGGTGGGGGGATCTGGGGATCCTCCTCCAGAAAAATGAATAAAGTAGAAGCAATTTCCTGCATTCTGGTGTATTTTAACGGGTTGTTAAACATCTATACATTTACCTACATACCAGGAAGTAAACACTTGATTCAATAATTATTTTAGAGACAGATTCCTCGTTCAACTAGTCCATTTCTGCATCATCCTGTTTTTAAACTTACTCCACAGACTAAGATAATGAAATTAATGTGACACAATTTATCACAAAGGGGTGGACTTCACTTTTATTTTGTTAACTTTTTATTTAGTTTAATTTAAACAACATGCCATTGTACTAAGCACTGGTGACACTCAACTGCATGTTTAACATGAGAATATTAACTTTACACCATGAACAGGCGACATTTTAACAACCACCAACAGTGAATTTAGTGGGGCTTTTTACTTTTTTTCTAATTTAGTGATAGACCTACTCACAACAACAACATAAAATGACATGACATCATGCAGCCTTCACAACACTAAATTACACTGTGCTGATAGGTGATGCAAAAAAACACCTTTTTAGTCAGTTTTGTCTACCTGCAAGTAATTATTATAACAAAATAAATTTACAGGTTCCTTTCTACTTTGGTGCCACCACAATTTCTGCACTTCATAACTTTTAAGTTTCACTTAAATAACTTTTAAGTTATGAAATGGTAACTTTTTACCAACTTAACTTTTTTTGTATATTTTTTAAATGTGAGTGGGGGACATCCTATCCTTCTCTTCATACATGTGAAAAGGGAAAAGACGAAAGATGAAGAACATGCAAACTCCACACAGAAAAGCCCCCTGGCCGATACGCAATCCGGCGACCTTCTGGCTGAGAGGCGGCAGCTCTACCACCTGTGCCACCGTGCTGCCCCGGGGACATGTCCCTTTCACATATAATTAATGCAACGCCTATGATTGACACAGTTGCTCTGTGGAGAGTTGTCCTGCTGCTCAGAGCGGTGTCTGATTTTAACCTTCAACAGACCACCTGTCTCATCAACAGGAACACATGTAAAAAGTGACGTGACATCAAAAGATACCAAAGTTTCATCTGTCTCCATGATGACGTCCTTCACTTTATCCACAAAGTTCATGGTGTTTTGTGTGTGATGTTCTGAGCTGCCAACTAAAGTTCATCCTAAAGATCCAGTCTTGCTTTGTTGATACTGATCTCCAACATATTCTGAGAGCTTACCAACAACATGAGATCTTGATCTAAAATCAATGCCAATTATTATTATTAAAGATAACTCTGTTAATAAAATAACTCATGGACCACTGGACAATTTTTAAATAAAACTTTCAACGATTCACTGTAATACATGTTTGCAAATCCAATTCAAGATGGCTGCCACAACCTTTTTATCGTTATTTGCAAATATACAGTTTATAATACAATGTCTGCATTAAGAGAAAATAAAAATTGTACGTATCAAGATATGAATCTAAACAAAAACAATATAAACACAAGAAACTGAACATAGGAATGAATGCTGGGGGGGTCTTGTGGTTCGAACAATACATTCACTGCAGTAAATCTCAGTGGTTTTTAGTGCCTTTTTTTTATCAGTCTTTAATTTTCTGAATACAACACTTGACCTCACTGTAAAAAACAGCAAAGCTTGGCTTCCTTCCAGAGTATTTTCTACAATGAAGAAGGGTTTTAACAAATGGACAGTACCAAAACAGGTGGAGAACAGTTTCAGGACATCCATCACAAAAACCACAGTTAATATCCATTTCTTTCTTGAATCTAGTTTTAATTTAAGACTTATAGCTGGGTAGATTTTATGGATAATTTTGTAGATTTCTTTAATCTTGTTTATAATCAAATATCTGTTCAGTAGAAGCCAGACCCTTTCCCACAATATCTCTTCAACAAACCTGTTCCAATGTATAAAAGCTGGTCGTGTTGTGATGTTCTTCTGAAATTGGGCTGTATAAGTTTATTAGGATGCCAACAGACCTCAACACAAACACACATCACTCCGAGCTAAAACTTGTTGTGGTAGTAGCTGAGAGTCTTTCAAACACACACTCTAAGCGTAACATGATATTATTCCACAGCTTTAACTCTAATCTCACATTAGTTGTGATCCCGGTCTGACGGCGGCGGGCAAAATGCATTCCATCGATAAACGCTAGGCCTTTAATCTTTCGCTGTCCGCGAGTCACGTGGTGCGCATGCGCGTTGCTGAACCCGGAACTGAGCTTCTAGAACTCAGCTGCGTTTTTATAAGCAAATGTTAAGTTCGGCTTGAAAATATGCAGCTTCACTTGGTTAAAGAGATTTTACCGGACTCTGTCAGCACCGACTTTCAGAACCTGAACAGGTTTAATGAGCAGGTAAACACAGATACGGTCATATTTTATTTTAACGGGATGTTTTCTGTCACTCAGGAGGTTTCAGTAAGTGAAAGAAAGGATGTGTCAGTTTTAGCTCCTCTCGTTAGTTTTGTTAGGAAACAGAGCAAGTCAAAGTAAATGACTGAATGGTTTAGTCATACTTTTGTACTTCCTCGTGACAAATCATGTTGAGCTGTCAGTGCTGCCTACACACTATAATTCAATTCAAATTAAATTCAAAAGTACTTTATTAATCCCAAAGGGAAATTCATTATTTTAACTCATCATCCTGGTTTCATTAAAGAGTTGTTCTAGATGCTGATGTCTGTGGGCAGGAAGGATCTCCTGTAGAGGTCTGTCTTAACAGCGGATCTGAAGAAGCCTCTGACTGAAGACACTGTTGTATGACAGTCTGATGAAGAGGATGCTATTTTTGATTTCACCTTGATTTAACCAGGCATAAACACTAAGAACATATTCTTATTTACAGTGCCAGCCTGGCAGCACCAACAGGTACTTGTAGGGTCAAGGGGAAGGGAAGTAAGTCAAAACCATGAAATATAGATGTCATTAACAAGCAAGGAAACACAAATTACATTAACAATAGTTCATTGTCAAAGTTAAACGACAACGTTACTAAGCATGAAAACATTTTCAAGTATCTATAAAAACGGCTTTTAAACTAAACTGAGACGAGTGAGGTCAGACCCAAAGTTTTTTAAAGTAGATTCCAGTCACAGAGGTCGTAGAGCCAATACGAAACTTGGTCTTTAGAGTTGTTAACCATAAATACTGAGAGGATCGGGTGTTAGACTTCGAAACTGGACCTAGTCTGTTACAATGAATGTAACAGATCTACTCCAACATGCAGACACCTTGAGCGGCAAAATTGTATAATTAATTCTAAATTGTAATATAATGATTAAAATAAGTTATGATTATAATATAATTATATGTATTATGTACATGTATTATACTGTATATCAAGTTCAAGTATCTTTGTCATTTGCGTCACATGGTACGAGGTGCCAAATTTGTGTACTCAAGGTCCCAGTTACATCTAAAAATAGCAAAAATATAAACTATAAAAAGAAACAGTAAATAAGGTTCTAAGATTTACATGAAGATATACACTAAACAAACTAAACGATACACTAAAAGATCTAAGATATACGCTAAACACTTATAATGTAAAACAATACGATGTATTAAACAGCAGCCCGAACATGAGTCTGTTGTGAGAAGATGGGTATGAATGAATACAGCAGCATGAGTTAAGCCCCCAGTATACTCCCGCGTACATCCATACGCGGAGGTACGCGCGTACCCCCGCAGGGTATGTCCGTGCAAAGCTCAATTTTTACGTACGTGGTGTCGCACAATAAACTGCTCAGCGACGGACTGTTTTGTATGCGACACCAATGTATTTAATTTCCCTTCTTCATCCCTGATCTGGCCTTTTCTTTTGTTATTTTGCCAAGAGGCAAGTGATCTCTTCCTCCTTTGTTGATGCCATGACTGAAATTGTGAGAAATTAACAAATTTGTCACGAGCAAATTAAAATCAGGTCCAGCGTGGCTGCGGGAGGGTCTGAAGATTTCCTGTTGGGCTGCGCTGATGTGTGGGCTGCAGGACCAGTGCTCCCTGTTTTTTTTTTATTTTTTAGAACTTTTTATTAACAACATATAAACACAGAACACTGCTGCGGCTAGGGGCTGCCAGCTCTTGGTTTTTTTTTTGTTTTTTTTTACCTGTCAATCAATCCAGTAGGCGTGTCAGCAAATGACCAATCGGCGACCTCAATTTGTCCCGAAGGTAATCACCCCTTGTCTGCGAAGCTGCTCTGCAGCCACTCAGGGTGTACTGGGGTGCACCAATTGCAGTTTTCTGTCCAATCACCGATTTCTAAAAAGTCTGACCTGCCGATTCTGATTTTGGCCGATACAATTTTGTTTTATAAGCAACACTGTCAGGTGTTATAAGGTCACAATGCACCTTTAATTTTCCATTCTTATTTTGTTGAAAAACAGACCTTTGAACAATATCTTAGAACAATACAAACTTGTTTTAACTGACCATGAGGTAGCGCTCTGAAATATAAATGAAGTTCAGACAATTGTTGTTAAAACTAAAAAAAATTGGTAAAATCGGTTTCTCAAGCACGTATCGGCCGATTTTAGAGTTCCCAAAATTAAGGAAATCGGGACTGATTTATCGGCCGGCCGATTTATCGGTGCATCCCTAGGGTGTACGCTCGAGCACGAAGTCTGAACCCTCTGCATACGTACACGCAAACGGACGGACGTGCAAACGGACAGATACAGATAAATTGCATATCACCAGTTAAAGTGTCATTACAGTGATTATTCTAGTTAGAGATTCATGAGTCTAACAGCCACAGGGTAGAAGCTGTTCCTCAGTCTAGTGGTTCTACACTTAATGCTCTACAACCTCCTTCCTGAGGGGATCAGGGCAAAAAGTATGTGCTGGGTGAGTGTGGTTCTTCATGATGCAGGGGGTCCTCTTCCTGCATCTGGAGGTGTAAATGTATGTGATGGTGGGGAGACTGACTCCAACAGTCTTCTGTGCAGCCTTCACCACTCTCTGCAAAGCTTTTCTTTCTGCAGCTGTGCAGCCTCCATGCCACATGTTGATACTGGAGCACAGGATGCTCTCCACTGCACACCTGTAGAAGGAGGTGAGGACTGAGCTTCTCAGACCAGCTCGTCTCAGCCGTCTGAGGAAGTAGAGTCTCTGATGAGCTTTCTTGATCAGGCTGGTGGTGTTGTTGCCCCAGCTGAGGTTGTCATTCACAAAAACATTGTGAAGCGTACAGCTCTAACTCACTCTAGATTTAGAAAAATATCCCCATGTTGATGTTTGAACTGTATAAAATGGAACAAGAACTGATGAAATGTTAGAGCTGCCATTATGCTCACCATGGTCAAAGTCAAAGTTTCTTTGTAATATGTGCCATGTGGTACATGTGGTGGACTGAAATTGTGTACACAGGGTCCCAGGTACATGGTAACCACACATCTGCGTCTGTTACTCCGTGACGTCAAGGTTTTGAGTGGCAGACTGAAAAGTAAGCCTCAGCAAACGGTCACTGTGTGAAAACAAATCTTTTCTCAGTCTTGAGTTCTCTTTATCTCTGAGCATCACACATATACAGTTGTCCCTCCCTACCTCGTGATTTTTTACTTATCGCAGTGCTTCAGTGTACGGATCCCCCATGATAAATGAGGGATTAGTGTATACCTTTGTTTCTGCTGTGGTTTGTCTGGTGGTGGCTTTAACTTATTTTATTGTTGGGTTTTCCTGTTTGTTTTTAACCTTGGTCAATGTTGCTGTTTTTAGATGTGCTATTTAAATAAAATTGACTGACATTGGTGTGATGTACATCACATCAAACCATGAATTGAGTCGTATTTAATCAAACTAAATTCAGAACCTTTTAAGAGTCCTGTCTTTTCAAGTTACACTTTGATACCTAGATCATCTTGATATCCTCAATGGTTCTGCTTTGATTTGTTTTGACCAACACATAACTTATAAGTTTTGTGAAATGTTTTTTTTTCTTCTCAAAACTCTATTAAATCCCATTTTGCAAACAGTACATTTTTCCAACAAGACTTCATTTATTCATCCTTTTTTAAATTTGTTTTGTGCAGCAATTTCCTCGTCTGGTTGAAATTCTGTTCCAGTTCCTTTTGGAGCCTAAAGAGGTGAGGTAGCTCAACTTGCCCCCAATTTTAATGTTAAATTAACTTTAGACTCAGCTTTGATAACCAAACCAATGTAAAACAATGCTTATCCCATTGTGTGCATTTGTAAATGAATGCATGTGTGTGTTTGTAGACGGAGAGATTCTTGCAGCAGCTCACTGAGTTTGCAGGAGAACATGGGATGAGCGCTGGGCTTCTTAGAAACCTGATGAAGAGTGTTCTCCTGGTGCCACAAGGTGGGAAAAATACATTGTTTAGTCACAAACACTCAGAGTTCACAGTGAGACAGCAACTGAGAATTTGACTATTTTTAACAATGTGTGGTTTTAAGTTGCCAACTTGTTTTCAGTTCACTTCATTGAGATTCTGGCTTTAGTTTCTTATGCACACACAGACATGGGTTAAAACATTATTGTTCCGTCTTCGCCTTCAGCGGCAGATAATCATTATAGTCCTAGCATTCCTTGAAAGGAATGCATATCGCCCACCAGTTTTCATGTCAACATTTTAGACTGATGTCATCTGATGCTGAAAAATAAGTTATAGCCATTTTGATCATCCATCCATTCATTATCTTTACCCACTTCTTGCTTTTCGGGTCGCAACGGTCACTGGTGCCCATCTCCAGCAGTCATTGTGCGAAAGACAGGGAAAACCCTGGCAGGTCTTCAGTCCATCACAGGGACACATAGAGACAAACGAGACAAACAACCATTCACTCTCTCACTCACAGCTAGGGACAATTTAGTTATCAATCAGTCTAACATGCATGTTTTTGGTCTGTGGGTGGAAACCGGAGTACCCGGAGAAAACCCACGCAATGCACGGAGAGAACATGCAAACTCCACCCAGAAAGTTGGTCAAAAAACTAAACACTTGCAGTTTTCATAAGTTTTTGTCACACTTCAGACTTTAATCTTGTTAAGGTTTGGTAAGTAAATATACCGGTAGTTGATATCTGCTGCAGTTGGTTGTATCTCTGACAATGGCTCTCTTGTCCTGTTTGTCCTCAGGGGCCCTGAAGAAAAACCTGACAGCGGAGCAGATCAGAGAGGACCTGGTCACATTAGGTACACATCCAAATTCCATAACAGTACTGACTAAGTGCTGCTTTCAGCTCACCTGTTATGATCAAGTCGTATCATGTTGAAAAGCTTTGAGTCTGATAACTTCCCACAGGTTTTCTTTTCACTCGTGATGCATTTATAAAACTAAAATAACCTTATGTGTCCATTTCTCAGGACTAAACGAAGATAAAGCAGCTTTCTTTTCACAACAGGTAATTTGATTTGGATTTGATTTTGCAACTTTACATGCAATGCATACATATTACAAAGTGCTTATGTTACTTGTTCTCTTCTATCTGGAGGCATTAGATAAAAAAGTTAATTAATTCCATCCATCTATCCATCCATTTTCTTCCGCTTATCTGGGGTCGGGTCGCGGGGGTAGCAGCCTAAGTAGGGAGGCCCAGACTTCCCTCTCCCCAGCCACTTGGTCCAGCTCCTCCGGGGGAATCCCGAGGCATTCCCAGGCCAGCTAAGAAACATAGTCCCTCCAGCACGTCCTGGATCTTCATCTGGGCCTCCTCCCGGTGGGACATGTCCAGAACACCTCACCAGGGAGGCGTCCAGGAGGCATCCTAAACAGATGCCCGAGCCACCTCAACCCTACCTCTAAGGGAGAGCCCAGACACCCTGCGGAGAAAACTCATTTTGGCCGCTTGTATCCAAGATCTCGTTCTTCCGGTCACAACCCAAAGCTCATGACCATAGATGAGGGTAGGAACGTAGATCGATAGGTAAATTGAGAGCTTCGCCTTTTGACTCAGCTCTCTCTTCACCACGACAGACCTGTACAGCGCCCGCTTCACTGCAGACGCCGCACCTATCCACCTATTGATCTCCCGTTCCATTTTTCCCTCATTCGTGAACAAGACCCCGAGATACTTGAACTCCTCCACTTGGGGCAGGAACTCCTCCCTGACCTTGAGAGGGCACTCTACCCTTTTCCGGCTCAAGACCATGGCCTCGGATTTGGAGGAACTGATCTTCATCCTGGCCGTGTCGCACTCGGCTGCGAACCGCTCCAGCGAAAGCTGTAGATCACAATTTGATGAAGCCAGTAGGACTCATCATCTGCAAAAAGCAGAGACGCAATCCTAAGGCCACCAAAACGGATCCCCTCAACACCTTGGCTGTGCCTAGAAATTCTGTCCATAAAAGTTATTAACAGAATCGTTGACAAAGGACAACCTTGGCGGAGTCCAACTCTCACCGGGAACAAGTCCGCCTTACTGCCGGCAATGCGGACCAGGCTCTGACACCGGTCATACAGGGACCTAACAGCCCGTATCAAAGGGCCTGGTACCCCATACTCCCAGAGTACCCCCCACAGGGTTCCCTGAGGGAC